ACTTGAGGAAAAAGATTTGGCTAACAATACAGTCTATGCATCAAGAAGAGAAAAAAATTTGTCCTTATTATTTATGCATCAAACTTAAGAAAACTAAAGATAAAAGTGTTTTAAACAACTATTTGTTGAATTTTTTTTGTTTTTGTTTGACTGTTTGTTTTCAAAATTTTTTGCTTGTTTTGTATATTAATATGTAAAAATACTAATATGTTTTTTTCATTTCTTTTCAATTTGAGATTAGGGTTTGCTCATTAGCAATTGTTCCGTTTTTATAAATTTTGTCTCTTACCAATAGTATTTGGGAATTTGTGAAGGTATTTCTCTTTTTAACAAGTTATATTATTTAAACATAAATGTTTTGTCATTTAAATTTGCATTCAAACATTAAATCTTGCTTTAGAACTTAAAAAATTGAGATTATGTTATGCAAATATGCTATTGGAATGTATGTGGAATTCAAATATAATTTTTCTAGAGTTGGGATTGTTCTATGTGGAAGTGTGTTATTGGAATTACCCTTTTATAATACCAAATAGAGTGGTTAATGCATGTTTTAAGACTTAAATAATTGTGAGCCTTAATGACCACGAATAACATGATGTGACAATTCAATCAACCATATCTATAGAGATAATATATTTTAAAGATAAAAGTTTGAATAATGGAATTCTTATATCTAGAAATATGTATTTTAGAGATACTATATAGACCTCATCTATAGTAATTTATCATCCTCTAGATGGTAAAACATTCTGATTTGAGTGGATCGATCCTGAAATCAATCCCATAATATGAAAAACATGGGTAAAGCATTCTGACTTAAGAGGATCGATCATATATCATGAAAAATAGTGTAAAAGCATTCTGATTTGAGGAAATCAAGCATTCTGGAAATGGAGGATCAATCTTGTAAATGGTGGGATCGATCCCTTATTATCAAAATTGCATATTCTGATATTTTTTACCAAGGAAATGTGGTTGATTTTTCTCAAATATATTTTTACATATGTTAGTTATATATAATTATAACATCAATAGTCTAATTATATAACTTTAGTTTGATAATTTAGCAAGTACTAAATAGATAAAAGTTAGATGCAAAACTCAAGATTAAGTCAAGAATATTGAGATGGAGTGAAATTTTTTTTTAAAGTTGCATTTGCGAATACAAGTGAAGATAATATGATATTAAGCCTATGTTTAAAGTTTACTAATATTTATTGGTAAATCCGTGAAGTTGTTTTGAAACATTTAGTTTATATTGGATTTCTCTCAAGATATGTTAATTGATATTTTAATGGGGAGTCTGTACCGTTAAGATCATCGACTAGAGGTTTTTTTTAACTTCAAATGGTTCTCAACATCAACATGATCTTATTAGACAAGATGACATGAAAGGTATGTCGTGAGATGCTTTTAACATTCATAATTAACATTTTCATTATCTGTTTTCTTAAAATAATGGATTTAATGTGTCAAATGTTGAAATATATGATTTTGGTGAATATGAGATAGGTGTAGAAAACCAACAACTTAGTAGATAAACCTCAAAGTTTTATAGGTTACTTAAGGATATTTTTTATTAACACTAAGACTTTAACTACTCTTCATGTCTTTCAAAATTGTGGATTCTATGAGATGGAATTATGAAGAGCATACAGATGATGAATCATTGAAACATCTTGTTGATTTTTGGCATGGAAATTAGTTTACTCTAAATTTTCATACTTTGCTTCTAATCTTCGAAATGTTATGCTTAGACTAAATCTAACAGATTCAATCTGTTCAAAATAATAAGTTGTTGTGTTGATTTCGTACAATTTACTGCCATAGATTTTCATAAAGCAACCGTATTTATCTTGTTTATGATAATTCCTAGGGAAAAAGGTCTGTGAAAGAATATGAACATCCATTTGCAACATTTGATTAGAGAGTTAAAATAATTATGGGAAGAAGTTAAAGTGATCATCAATTTCATATTTTTAAAATTTTTGTTTAATGCATTGAAACAATTTGAATGTTATTGTGGTACTTTGTGGTGACATGTATATTAAAATAAATTATGTATTTAGATATTTAAATATTTATAATATACAGTTTATGAATTTTAATTTATTTTTATTTCTTTCAATAATTTTTTTAGTTAATTATAGTTGTAAATTTTGAAAAAAAGTTAATTTCTTAATTTAGAAACATTTAAAGTGAAAAAAGCTATTAAACGAACAAAAATTAGTGGCATTTTTGTCTGAAAATGTCGTTAAATTTATCAGCATTTTTAAGAAAAATGCCACAATGTTGACCTTTTTTTTCGTAAAATATTGTAATATTTTTTTATGCAAATATAATCGACATTCTTAACAATGTTTTTGACAAACGTCATAAATCTTTTAGAGGCTCAATACCGCTAAACATGAAAAAAAAATACACTCAAAATCTATTCTACTGTAGTGGCGTTCTTAACTTCTTGTATGGTTGAATGATGATTATGCTGTCAGTATATTCATCAGTAATTGGAAAGTTGAGATTTCAAAGACCCTTAGGTTGTTTAAACCCGAGACCCTTAATCAAACATTTCACTTAGACAAACAAATAGAGTATTCTTTATCCTACTGTTAAAAAATCCATTTCAACATACAAGTTGTCGTTCACTTTTGTTAATGCCCAGAACTTTTAGCCTATACAAGAACTAAAGTCGGCAAATCAACCCGAAACCATCGGGTTCCGACCCGACTATTTTAGGGTCGATTTTTTTTTTCAAAAATTGGGTTTCGGGTCGGGTCGAATTTATTTTTTAAAATGTCGGATTCGGGTCGGGGTCGGGTTTGTATGAAATTCAACCCTACCCGACCCGTAATATTTACCAGAATACCCTTACTATATATATATATATATATTTTTTTTAGGGTTTCTGAATTCTAATTTTTTTTAACCTCTCTCTCGTCGTCGTCTCCCCCATCCATTTTGTTTTGCATTTCTGCTTCCATCTACCAGGCTGCTTCACACAAGTGCTGTCGAGCGCTTAAGCTCCGCTTGTGGTCACTTGTTCGTCGTTTCTCGCTTGTTCCAATTCTAGTACAAAGCTTCAGATCCGATTCTACACTACATACAAGATTCCATTTCGACCCTCACTAGCTCTTCGCTTGGTTCTACAGGGAGCATGCCCAGCTCGAGGGGGCTATTACGCTCACCACGCATTTGCATCACCACCTGAGCTTTGCTACCGCTTCGCCCAGCTCCTACGCCTACTGCTGTAAGGTAATTGATTTCTATTCGAGTTGGGAAGATCAATAAACAAGGGACTCATTTTCACCCTACTGCTGTAAGGTAATTGAATTCTTATAGATATCGGAGTCTCTGATTTATCATTTTTGTTACAAATGATTAGCATTTATTAATAACATCTATCACACAGCCGAAAATGTTACTGACAAGCATGTTATCATTGTAAACTATTTCTTCTGGATTATGATATTCGACTATCCCTAGAAACTAATATTATTTGGTTGATTTAAGATCAATTGTAGATATAGTTACAATCCGAAGTTTACTTTTTTTTTCTTTAGTTTTGGACCCATCTTACATGATCATTAATGATGCAATTATAATGGTTTCGTAATCTTTAATTATATAGCATTTTGGTAATTTACCTTGGATTAGCATAACTCTTCTTTTCTGCCTTCCTGTCTCCATTTTGGGAATTAAGATGATATTAATTGATTGTATTATGTATGGTAATGCTTTCAATATCCCATCCAGGCAGCTTGGTTTTAAAATATACCTGAGTTATAAATATTCTGGTCTTTCGTAGTATGTCACGCATATTTACAACCAGTAAGTTTGGACGGCATGTATTATCACATGATTATATGTGCTGACTGTTGCAAGTGGCTATTTCTGTGTGTTTTGTCATATTACACTGCGAAACTGAGAGTACCTACTTTTTATCTGATCGTTGGGCTTGGTTATGCTATCAACGTGCCATTGTACCCTATGTTGGATTATTTCTTAACTGTAGTGATTTTTCTGAATTTTTTTTACGTTTTGATTCATGAGTCTAGATAGTGTTTATCGTTGGATTATGATTATGATTTTTTGAAGGCATTTTTGTTTAATTTAGCCTTGTCTTGAGTCTTTAATTTGATTAATTTTCATGATTTGTAGATTGCTGCATCTTTGCTGGTTGCATTTCAGCATGGTTAAAAGTTTGGAGATCAATCTATTTATTATGTTTTCATGACTGTTGTCTGCAAAATTTCCTATATCTTGGCCCTACATTATAAGTTGTCTCCCATAGTGCTTTGATTTAGCATCTACTTGAATTGATTTCATGTGTTGGAATCTGTCCTTTAGTACTAGGTTAACCCTACAATATAATCTGAATGGAAGGTGTATGTTTAGTGGTTAATAGTTGGTAAAAATTACAGGGTTCTATTTTAGTTTGTTGTTGGTGATCATGTTCATGCTTGCAAATAAATATATCTTTTGACTTGTTGGTAAAGTGGGCGTATTCTATTGATCTCTGAATTATGAGGAAGTAAAGGTAGTTTCATCTCCTATATTATATAGTTTGCTGTTGCTGTTTTATGGATATGTAGCGTTGACATTTAATGAATCAATTATAGGTTTGAGTGCTAATGACATTGTATGAATTACAGTTATGCTGCTTTGTCAGTATCAGTATTCTTCATTTTGCTGTGAATTTTGTTGAATTCTGAACTGAATATTTTTCGTACCATTCTTTATAATTTCGATGTTATTCTTTTGCTATGTGATTTGCTATGTTATTCTTTTGCTATGTTAATCTCTTACTTTTTTTTTTTTGAAGGAATGAACTTGTCTAATTTTTTTGATACTTAGATTCTAAGTTTGGTTTTCAATTGTTTCGGTAGAATTATTTGTTAATAAACCTTTTTATTTTGGTTTTATATAGTTAATCTATTTAGTTGCTTTATTTGTTAATATAAAAAATAATAACTCTATTTTTTTTTAATGAAGGTAAAATGTCTAATTTGGGAGATAATTCGTGTTCCCCAACACCTCCTACTTCTACCTCACATCAATCACCAATTCAGCAAACTCCAATTCCAACATCTGATGAAAATACAACTCTTTCATTAAGTGTGACGAATCATGGTGCTAAAGTTGATGATAGTGGGTATAACTCAAGTAAGCTAAAATCAGAAGTATGGAAACATTTTAAAAAAGAGAAAATCAATAATGAATGGAAGGCAATATGCAATTATTGTAAGAAAAAACTTGGTGGTGCTTCAAAGAATGGGACAAGTCATTTACGTGAGCATTCAGACAGGTGCAGTAAGCGATTTCAAATGGATATTCGTCAACAAGTGCTGGTAGCAAATCAAAGGAAGGTAGATGGAAAAGTAACACTAAAAAACCTTTCCTTTGATCAAAATGTCACAAGGAGGGAGCTTGCCAACATGATAATCATGCACGAATATCCTTTATCAATGGTTGATCATGTGCAATTCAGAAAGTATTCTTACAGTCTCCAACCTTTGTTTGCTATGCCTTCTCGAAATACTATAAAGAGTGATATTTTAAAGATTTTCAAAGAGGAAAAGGCAAAAATAATATCCAAGTTGGAAGCTAATGAAGGGAGAATTGCTATCACAACTGATATGTGGACTGCTGATCACCAAAAAAGAGGATACATGGCTGTCACTGCTCATTACATTGATAATCAATGGAACTTACAAAAATGCATCATCAGGTATATTTTATTAAATTGTCTTATTTTGATAATGTTTATTTTTTATTAAGTAATTATTATTATTGAATTAATTATTAAATTAGTGTAAATAATTGATTGTTTAATTAGGTTTGAATATGTGCCAACTCTACATACAAAAGAGGTCATTACTTCAAGTTTGATGAAATGTTTCCTAGATTGGAATATTGATAGAAAACTTTCATCTATTACAGTGGATAATTGTAGTGTGAATGATGGTGTTATTGAGTTGTTAATTGATAGAATTGGTTGTGATGCATTTTTGCTTAATGGGGCTTTTTTTCATATGCGTTGTTGTGCACACATCTTGCATTTGATTATGAAAGATGGATTGAGTGTGATTGGAGATGGAATTGAAATAATTCGTGATAGTGTCCTTTTTTGGGGTGCTACACCAAAGAGTTGGGAAAAATTTGAAGAGGCAGCGCGTCAATTGCGCATTCCAACTTTAAAAAGGTTGTGTGTTGATGTCAAAACACGATGGAACTCTACTTATTTGATGCTTCGAACAGCTTTGTTTTATAAAGATGTTTTTCCTCGTTGTGTGCAATTACATGGTGATCCTTTGTACAAACATTTACCAACTGAAAATGATTGGATCATTGCAACCGAGATTTGTGAAAAGTTGAAATTGTTTTATGATATCACTGAAGGGTTTTCTGGCACAAAATATGCTACTGCAAATATTTATTTTCCTAATATTTGCAAAATCAGATTGGCATTGAATGAATGGATTATGCATACCGATAGAATTATTTCATGTATGGCTGTGAGCATGTTAGGCAAATTTGAAAAATATTGGAATGATGTGCTTGGTATAATGGGTGTTGCTACAATTTTAGATCCAAGGTACAAAATAGAGTTGTTGGAGTATTACTTTGAAAAGATTTATGGAGAAAATGCTGAATTATAATTGAAAGGATTGTGCAAATATGTCGGGATTTGGTTAAGGAGTATGAGAAAAATTTGGCTTTGAAAAAGGAAGAAGGACCTTCTAGTTCAAGCTTTTCATTTTTAGATGGTGTTGGTGTTACTGAATTGGGAAATTTGGGAGACTATGATGATTTTGTTTCAAGGAAAAAAAAGAAAAAATCAAAAGTAAAATCAGAGTTAGATCATTACTTGGATGAAGAAGTCATACCAAGAAAAGGAGATTTTGATATATTGAATTGGTGGAAACTAACTGGGCCTCAATTTTTGACCTTACAACTTATTGTTAGAGATATATATGCCATACCAGTTTTTACTGTTGCTTCAAAGTCTACTTTTAGTACTGGAGGGAGGTTGGTGAGTGCACAACGTAATAGACTTCATCCATCAACTATAGAAGCTTTAACATGTTGTCAAAGTTGGTTATGGGCTAAAGAAGAAGGTACAATAATTCATATTATGTAATTTTATTTTTTATTTTAGCATGTTGTTAGTTATTATATTTTGTTGTTATATATTATTTGTTAATGTTTTATTATTTCATTTATAGGGTCAATTTCATTAGAAGAAAATTCTTTTTACGAGGATGTTGATGATAGTGAGATTGAGGAAAAGATAACTAGTGTGGTAAATAATATTATCTTTTTTAACTAATTTATTTTTTATATTATTATTTTTAAATATATTATTTTATGATATTTATTTATTCATCTTATTGTTTTATTTTATAGGACTAGTGTGGTTAGAGGAGAATGATGATATGAAGCTTAGTGATGAGGAAATGATTTGTTGTGATCTTGGAAGATTTTCACCATATTGGATGAAAGAATGTTCAAATAATTTAACTTTTTATTGTGGTAGTTTAAGCTTTTAATGTTTATCTTGTATTATGTACTATATTTAAATTTTAGTTATTAACTTATGCTTGTTTGATATTTAAATTTTAGTTTACTAAGTTTTATATATTTCATAATTCCATCATTTATTGTGAGAATTTGTTAGTTTTGATTTACTATGTTTTATGTATTTTATAATTCTATTATTTATGGTAAGAATTTATGAGATTTTTATTAAATAAAAAAAGTTGTATGTACTAAGTTTAAATTTGTGAGTGATTATGTTAAATTTGTTCATGTTTGTAATATATTTAGATTATGATTTATTACATTTGCAATAATTTTGAATAGGTAGTAAATTAAATTAGGGTCGGGTCGGGTAAAATTCGGGTAAATAGTATTTAAGCGGGTCGGAGTCGGGTTTTTCAGTTACAACATCCGAACGGGGGCGGATCGGATATCGGGTAGAAGCATTAAAGCATCGGGTCGGAGGCGGGGAAAGTGAAAAACCGCCCTGCCCCGCCCCGATGCCATCCCTAACAAGAACCCAACAACCCCCTCTACTTTCCACACCCAAAAGTACCTTCCAATCCGAATCTTCTTAATTTGCACAACCAGCGACCCTCTTTCCCTAGACCAAAGAATGGACTCAACTCCACCAACATGCCGAAGAATGGACCCAAAAATTTACTCAAGTTGAAATAGAGGAGAAAAAGAGAAAATGGCTATGTTATTGGTGTGGGACTAAGTATACACCTGAACACAAGTGTATGAAGTCCCAAACCTATCAGTTGATTATTAGTGACTGTGAATGAGAGTAGAGTTAGAGGAATTCTCTGATTGTATAGACAGTCATGAAACATTGCCATTAAAAAATAGAGAAAAGGTTATGGTGTCTTTACATGGTACACTGGGTACAACAAGATATCAGACCATGAAAGTCAAAGGCATTATAGGAAAACATACACTGGTCATTTTGATCGATTTTGCAAGTACTCATAATTTTTTAAACCATGCCGCTACTAAAATGTTGGGGTTGGCAATTAGTCAAAGCTGCAAAATCAGAGTCACGGTGGCTAATGGTCAAAACATGATTATTAATGGGAATTGTAAAGGTGTTAAGTGGCCAATACAAGTGGCTGAATTTATCACAGACTTCGTGGTCCTGCCCTTGAAGGGTTGTGACGTTGTACTTGGGATTCAGTGGTTGGTTACACTAGAACCAATCATATGGGATTTTACTACATTAACAATGCAGTTTCAATATAGACTAGAATGGAAAACAATAACAAGAATTCCACCCAGTCTCGTACAGGTGAATGATAATAAAAAGTCGTTAAAGGTGTTGCAGACTTTGATGGCTGCTACAGTACAGTATCCATGTGCTTTAATGATGATTAAAGAACCTTAATATTTGTTGAAATACAACGGGATTATGACTGACCTGACTCCACCTTAGGATCTAGAGTTGATAAAACTATCGGCAAGGTATCGAAATTTGTTTTTAGCTCTTAAGGGCTTGCCCCCAAAAAGAGTCCAGAACCATAAGATTCCTTTGGTGGATAAGACAAACTGTGAGAATCAAGCCCTACAGATATCTGGCTATTCAGAAGGATGAGATTGAAATGATGGTCAGAGAGATGTTAGAAGTTGAAATTATCAAAGACAGCAATAGCTCTTTTGCTTCCCCTATTGTAACGGTCAAGAAGAAGGAAAGGTCCTTGAGAGTGTGTGTGGAAAACAGGCAACTCAATCAACTAACCATTAAGGATAAATTCTCAATCCCTATGGTTAAGGAGCTATTATATGAACTTACTAGAGCAGAAATATTTACCAAGCTAGATTTGAGATCGGGGTACCACCAAATCCGAATGTATGAGGCAGACATACACAAAGAGTGTTTTTAAAACTCATGTGGGCCACTATGAGTTTCTGAGTTTCTGAGTTTCTGGTGATGCCCTTTGGACTCACAAACGCCCCTTTCACTTTTCAAGGATTGATGAATTATATTTTCAAGCCTTATCTCAGAAGATTTGTCATTGTATTCTTTGATGACATACTTATCTACTCTCTTAATTTGGCAATGCATTTAGACCACTTGCAGATAGTATTTGAGATACTAAGGAATAATCAATTGTTTTTCAAGCAAAGTAAATGTGAAGTTGGGGCCAAAGAAGTGGAATACTTGAGACATATGATCAGTAGTCAAGGTGTTGAAATGGATAAGAAGAAAATTCAGTGTGTTGGACTGGCCATCTCCTAGAACTATTAAAGAATTGAGGGGATTCTCAGGACTCACAAGGTACTACAGAAGATTTATCAAGGGTTATGGGACAATAGCCAAACCCTTGACTGATCTGTTAAAGAAATATGCATTTGGATGGGGACAAGAAGCATAATCAGCCTTTAAGAAGCTAAAGACAGCCATGACCACAGCACCCATTTTAACACTACCTGATATTTCCAAAGAGTTTATTGTGGAAACAGATGCTTCAAGGTTGGGAGAGGGAACAATGTTGACTCAAAATGGCAGGCCCATAGCATATTTTAGACATTAGCCCTTAAACATCAAGTTTTGTCTGTCTATGACAAAGAAATGCTAGTTGTTCTGCTAGTACTAAAAAAATGGAATGCTTATTTGGTAGGAAGGCATTTCAAAATAAAAATCGATCACCAAAGTTTGAGGTTCTTTTTGAATCAATTAACAACAACACTAGCTTAACAACTATGGGTAGCCAAGATGATAAGATACAGCTATGAGGTATGCTATAGGAAAAGAGCTTCAAATTTTATTGTTAACATTTTATCCCAGAGGCCTAAAGAAGGGGAAGCTGTGTTAACAGCTATTACTTCGTTGAGTACTGATCTGTTATCTAAAAATCAAGATTCATGGAGCCAAGATTCTCACTTGCAGAAATTAATTCTTGAACTACAAACAGGTGCAACACCTAGTTTTAAGTTTACTTGGATAGGAGGCCAACTGAGGAGGAGGGAGAAACTGGAAATAGGGAATGCACCTACAGCAAAACAGCAATTATTACAGTACTTCCATGTGGGCCCTTCAAAGGGACATTAAAGAGTTCAAGCAACTATCAATAGGCTTTCTAGCCTGTTTTATTGAAAGGGTATGAAGAAAGAGGTTAGAAGAATGGTGGGGGAATGTAACATGTGCTAGCAGCACGAATATGACCCTGTTGCGACACCAGAATTGTTACAGCCTCTGCCAATTCCAGAAAGGGTGTGGCATGATGTATCTCTGAATTTCATAGAGAAATTGCCTAAATGTGAAGGTAAGGACACTATCATGATGGTAGTGGATAGGCTGAGCAAATATGCTCACTTTATTGCATTAGCACATCCTTTTACAGCTTTGATTGTTATTCAATTTACATGGATCAGGTGTTCCAATTTCATGGCATGCCTAATAGCATCGCCTTTGACAGGGACAGAATTTTCATGAGTCAGTTTTGGCAGAAGCTTTTCAAGACACATGGCACTTCTTTAAACATGTCAATAGCTTACCATCCTCAGACAGGTGGTCAGACTGAGGTGGTTACTAAGTGTTTGGAATCTTATCTGAGATGTATGACCAGTGAAAAACCAAAGGAATGGAGAAAATGAATGGTCCTGGCCAAATGATGGTATAACGTTATCACTCAACAGTCAACCCCCTATGAAGCAGTGTATAACCAACCTCTTTCTATTCATCTTCCTTATTTAGGGGGTGACCTATTTGGTTGATACTATGACAGAATTCTAAGAGCAAGAGAAGCTGCCATTAAAATGCTTACATTTGACTTGGGAAGAGCTCAAGCTAGATTGAAGAATCTGGCAGACAAGAAAAGGAGTGACAGGGTGTTTGTGATGGGCGATTGGGTTTATGTGAAGCTTCAGCCCTATAGACAACAATCTATAATCAACAGAAGTTGTTTGAAGTTATCAGCTAAATATTTTGGGCCTTACCAAATTTTGGAAAAGATTGGAAATGTGGCATACAGGTTCGATTTACCTTCAGGCTTTAAGGTACATCCTACATTCCATGTCCCTCAACTTAAGGAGCATGTTGGTAGACAACTTACATAACAGCAGTTACTGGTAGTAGGAGATAATAGTACAATTGTCAGAGAACCTTTGAAGATCATGAATAGGAGAATGGTGAAATGGAGTAATAGAACTATAACTAAAGTCTTAGTGCATTGGACTAATTTATTTCTAGAGAATGCAAAGTGGGAAGTCCTCTATGATTTGCAACAAAGATATCCAGGCTTCAATCCTTAAAAACAAGGATTTTCTTCACCAAGAAAGCATTGATATGTGCCTTCAACGAATTCTAGTAGTTTCCCTTTCTTACAGTAGCTTGTATTACCGTTATATCGGTTATTGTTGTTATATTGGTTATGTTGGTTGTGATATTAGTTAGGGACAATTATAGTGGTTATGATAAGACTCAGTGGATGTATATAGAGGAACCTTTGGACAATGAGAAAATAATATAGAAAAATAGAATAAAAAACTCTCTGTTTCTTGCTTCCCTCTTTTCCTCTTTACTGGTTTTCTTCCATCAGAGTTTATCTCTTCTTGAACCTTCTTTATCTTTGATCACCAAGCTTGTATCATAATAACAATTATAGAGGATGCAAAAAGGAAGATAGAAAGTTTTGAAGAGTTAAGATTGAGTTGTATAAATAGGAAAGCTAACTTGGCAACAGACTGGGTATCTACTCAAGCAAGGAAAAGGGCGTGCTAATCAAACTGGGTTTTAATACCCCTATCCTCTTTGGTGTTCATACTTGATAAAGATGGGCTTCCAGCACCACCTAGATGAAAATTTGTTCTGTAACTTGGAAGGGCTTGAGTTGCAGGATGATACCACTCAGTATGGCATTAAGTAACCTTAACAATTTAAAAAAAAAACCCAAGATGACGTGACATAAAAAAAATATAAAAGTAATAAAACTTAAAATTTTAACAAAATTTATTTATAAATTTAATAAAATTAAAAAAAAATATTTTATATTTTCATATAATATAAATTATAATAAAATTTTTATATAAAATATAAAATAAATACACAAATTATTAATATTTATACTATATAAATATATAAATTATCAAATCTACTCTAAAAAATGCGATGATTGTCAAAATATTAAAGGATATTGTATTCTGGTGCGTTTGTAATGATAAAAACATATTATTTTCTGGCAAAAAAAAAACAAAAAAGAGCAGCTGACAATATAAAAAAAACGAGAAAATCTAAATGAACCTGCGTTTTTTTTTTCTCTATTACTCACTTTTAAAAAAAAATTTATAAATAAAATTATTTAAATATCCTTCTCACAAGTAATCAAATATTCATATATGATAAATTTTATGACTTTTTATATATACATTTTAAAGAAGTATTGACTTTTCAGTTTGGAAATGGATTGTCAAAAAATCATAACATTTCTCAAAATGTATTTTTAAAAAGTTATAACACTTATTAAAAATACATTTTCGAAAATAAAAGAATGAAAGTTTTTGAAAAACTACAAAAAAAAAGAAATTTTTTTAAAAGTTTTTATGAATTAATATAATGCAAAAAATTATTATTAAAAAATTATAAAATTTAAAATTAATAAAAAATTACTTTTATTATTTTGATCTTTAAAAAAATAAAATTTATGATAACCTAATTAAATGTTTCATCTTTTGATGTTACCAAAGGTAATGAAAAAACCATCAAATCTGTTCAAAATATAAGAGCTAAAAACTACTTAAAACTATATAAATAATAATATTGAATATTATATAATTTTGTTAAAATCTATATATTAATCGGAGAAACTCATAACAATAATAAGTAAATTGAAAGATTTTTTTCAAAAAATTTAGTTTAGTTAAAATTATTTTAAAATTTTAATAATTAATAAAAATATTTATTAAAAAATAATAAATTTTAAATTTATAAAAAAATTTATATTTATTATTTTATCTTTAATTTAATTAAAACCTTATTAAATTTTATTCTTTCTATAAAATCAAAACAATAAATCGTAAATTTTATTTATTAATTTTAAAATTTATAACTTTAAAAATTTTTTTTATTACATTAGTTCATAAAAATTTTAACTAAATTTGTTTTTTTATAATTTTTTTTAAACTTACACTCTCAAGTGTTAATCTATTAAAATTGATATAACTTTTCAAAAATATATTTAATGTTATGATTTATGACTTTTTGATAATATATTTTCGAAAAATTATAACACTTTTCAAAAATACATTTATGAAAAATCATAAAATTTATCGGATATAAATATCTAAACATTTGTGAAAAAACTATTTAAATAATTTTACTTACAAAAAATCTTTTTAAAAAATGTAGAAAAATAAAGGTCTTCGGCCCCAAAGCCAACTTGTTGTAGATGATAAAAAATTGTGTATTACATCAGCTCAGTGAACCAACTAAATTTCACCAATGACAGACTCTGGTTTCGAAGTGTAATTTTCTCGCGGACGGACAGAGATAGCAAACCAGTTAGTTGGGGTCGCTGGACTCCGGTAAAAAACTGGCTATGGTTAGTAAGCTCTGTTGACCGTTGATTCTGTAATAACGACAAACTGTGCCCTGCCTTCAATCAGTGCCCGTGCCCCGTTATACTGCTTCGACAAATAACCAAGTTCCACCGAGAATTTGGAACTGGCAGGGTCAGCCAAAGAAGAGGGCAAAGGGCAAAGGGCATCTCCTTTTGCCAACTCGTGAGGTTGTTAAGCATTTTGAGGAGAAAAACCAATACAGTACCAAATTTATCATCTGTCTCAACTGAACAAACGTCCCCGTGACAAGGATAAGAGGTGAGTACAAATCCTCACGTTCACTCCGGAAAATATCTCCCCATGCTTTCTGGAGAATTCAAGTCACGACATCTCATCTGTTGGGCTTCAGACACGTTATGCAAGAAACACCGAGGTTAACAGTCAACTGGGGTTGCAGGTATCAATAGCCCTCACCCGTTGTCTATATTGTGTACTGTACAGATGTCACAACAGCTGCTACACTATAAAATGAGAAATCTATCAGGATGCTCTTAGGTCTTCAAGGAACAGAAGGAGCATTCTTGGGATATCTACCAGAATAGGACATCCGCTGCAGAACTCGTGGAAACTCTGGCTTTTGGCGTTTACTTTGCATACCTTGCAATGACCTTGTCCATATAACCAACAATACACCAAATAAGATATGAAAATCAAGCAACAATCGGTTTTTCCCCACAGGACACAGGTAACAAGTACAAGTAAGAACACACACCTTGGAGAACCCTGACGTTTCTGAGTAAATTGACCAAGCATTGATCTTAGACTTCCAAGGGCCTTTTCAGCAGCCTAAGGGGGAGAAGAAAGAGCATGTCCAGAATCCCAGCCATCAGACATTATACAGTAAGAAACAACACAAGTCACACAAAAGAAAATTTAGGATATAAATATAACAGAAGGTATACCTGCATCTTAGCCTCTTCCCAGGTCATCCCAGTCCCTTTCCCTAAAACCTGCCCATCTACTTCAACCTAACCAGAATAGACAAACTGCTGTAATCATGGATGAAAATTAACTAAATATTATTAAACAATCACAAGATGCCATTTTGCTTCTACATCTAAAAAATGACCTCATCATTTCTTTTACATCCACACAAAGTAATGATTGAAGAGTTTTTATCTTATAGGGATCCCCAAGGAATTCAGAGATCACTTAGATCAGGCTCTTAAAACACATAGTTCAAGCTTATGGTCTTTAATCAAATTCTTGGTTGTTTCTTTGTTCCTCACTATAAAAAACCACTCTCAGACTAGACCACAAAAAATAAAACTATTTGTTAAATGCAAACCTGTGCATATACTTCATCTTTCTGCAATGGATTAGATGAAGACGGAGGCTGCGCTTGAAACACTACTCGAAGGCCCTCTATCAAGCACTGTAAACAAAATGCATATCGTCAGCCTGAACTACAGATTACATCAGTGTTAGTAGTCAAGCATTTTGAAGACTAAAATTACTAATGATTTCCTGAGATCTCACTAATTCTTTAAGCGCAGAGACTGAACCCATAGATCTCTTGGAGGCTTCCAGCCTTGGATCAACAAGACTTGATGGTTCTGAAGCAGTTGAAAATGACATAGATTCCTCTTTAGATGATGGCTGGTTCCCATATGAAGTCACATTGCCAAGAAAGCCATTGTCATTTGTGTTGGACAACCTACTTACATCCCCTTGCGCAGACCCAGAATCAGGCTTAGTACGTGACAAATATGTATCTGTAAGTATAGTACAAGAGAGTCAGAATTGCTCAAAAAAACTATAAGAGAGCTTGAATGAATCAATATACAGAGAAAAAAAAAATGCCAACAAGAAATTCCTCTAAGATGAAACAGAAACAAAACCAGCTCAATATAGCTTAATCACAAGCCAAGAAAGCTGACAATATAGTGACAAAAGTTCTGTGCCTGAAATGTTCTTATTCATCTAGGTGAAGCTGAGCCATCAAGCAATTTCTACCGTAGATTATTACCATGAGTATTTATAACATTGACCTAATACATAATGTAATGGGGGGAACAAAATACATTTGCTGTAATTACTGGAAAATGCAGTACTCTTCGAAATAGTTGTCTTTCACTGTCTACCCGCTCTTTATCCAGTTTATACCACAAAGTTTAGTAAAGCAGAGAGTGGGCTGTAAGATTACTTTTAAGTTTTCTCTAGTGCATTGATAATTATTAGTCTAAAAAGTATTAGAGGGGATCTCAACCCGTCAAATGCAGATATATGGTGCAACATGCTTGTAGATAACAATAAAAAGAGGAAAACATATTACTAGCTAAGCTTTTTATAGAATCCTCAGCAGCCTGACATTGGGCTTTTATTCTTGTTCTACCAATTCCTTCCCCAATTTTCTCCCCAGCAAACCAAGCCTACCACAAGCAAGAAAGTGGATAAGTAAACGAGGATGTCTCCACCTCAAATTTTGAAAAACCAAATGAAACCAAACCCAAAAATAGTAGTTATAATAACCATAAATTAAAAAAAAAAACCATATTAATTATGAACAAAAAGGTCATAGCATGGAAAAGTAAAATCTAATTTATAAATCATAGAGTTTATGAAACCTCAATCGAGAATTGCAAGTCCAAGCTAGCAACCAAAGCTGGTCTGAATTCCACCTACACGTTTTAGGAACAAAACTTAGAAGCAGTAGGAATATAGCAAACTAAGATGAAACATATGGGTATATTATATTTATAAACATAAACATTATTATCGAACTCAAATAATACAAAATACTTCTAAATTACCTTGGCTCCACACTTCATTGCAATATCTTGTAAAACACCAGCAGGAGTTTCTCCACTTGGAACAGTTTGTCCGGATTCAAAGTCAAGATACTTGTGGGTAGAAGATGATCGACCAAGGGGCATATCCTCACCTTAAAATATAGAACACCCCAAATATAACAAAAACAAACAGAAGATATAACAATTACATATCAGAAAAGAATGTACTAATCTATAAACTTCCATTCAAAAGAAAATTCAAGTAACTGGGAAAAAAACAAGATGACAATTGAGGTAAAATGGAAAGGACAAAGACAGTTATGGCAATAAATGTCTGAAATTTTCAGTAAAATTAAACCTCTCAGTACCAACAATAACAAGGGCCCATTGAATAAAAAGAAACTCAGCATTCATTTCAACATGCAATTAATTGCTTCAGCTGACCTGAAAAAGAATGATAGCTAGAAGGTGTATGGTTTAACCCCAACCGATCATCTCTATGAAGTGCCTGCAAATGAATTATGCTGTAAGACAATTATGTTTCACCAAGAAAACGTAACTTTAACCTTTCACTTAAGCATGGAAATCATGGCTACATGCCAAACCGCCACAAAAAACCAATTACCCCTTTTGATAATCTTTGATTTTCAGAAACAAGTCTATCAGATGGAATGGAACTCTCAACCTTAGCGAAAAAGGGTGGATGCCGATGTTTCTCAATTTGTATTTGCTCAGAATCTAAAGGAAATTCTTTGAGAACTGCTTGGTTCAGTTGCGGTGGGCTCATCTCCTCCTCTGCAGAAAACCAACTTCCGCATGATTGAGCATGAGGAACTGGAACTTGCATTGTAGGTCTTACAGGGGGAAATGCAGGTTCAGGCGGTGTGTGATCTCTGGTATCTTGCCCATGTTGCAAAATCAGAAGCCGCCTCCTCGTATCAGGATCCAATTCTGATTCTGGAACCTCACCTTCTTCTCTAGCTAGAGAACTTTGCAACATTGCTTCTGGGGCCGGAACAGGAGCCACTGGTTTAATCACATGACCAGCCTGAGGAAGCTGCATGTTTGGAAATGACACCATTGATGGCTGACCCGCTGGCAATGGAACTGAACCAGAAGGTGGCATGGTGAACAGGAGAGAAGGGGCGAGCCTTGGATCTAGGCTAATGGCTGTTGAAGAGACTGTTGATGAAGTTGGAATTGCCTCCTGGATGAAACAAGCAAATGAAAATGAAAAAGTTTATAAACTCAATCCACACAGATGAAAATAAATTCACCTCACTAAGTGACAATAATTGTAAATTAAAAATCAGAACTATCTCACCTAATTTAAAAACTCCTAAAGAAAACAAGAACACAGTATACCAGCCTAGTTCCATTGATCAAAAGAGCCTAAGAATGTCAAGTACCTTTAATCTTCTTTCCACCTCTGCATCTGCCATGCCATCAAATAAAAGTGGATTTTTGTTTCCGTTTGAAGCAGAAGTGTCATCCTGAGAGGCATAGCAAATTTATTAATGAACAAGAAGCAAAGTAGCAATACCAAAAATGATTGATAACCCATAAATATTACAACTAAGGCCAGAGAGAATTAAATAAAAGGAAAAAACTGTCATGACTAACCTCAGAGACCAAATAATTGCCCACATCAGGAGGTGAAGGAATATCTTTAATATCATCTTCATACAAAATTTCAGGTATCCTTTGTAAAAGGCCTTCATCAAATTCTCTGTCATCAATTTACAGGGTGAAATTTTGGAAGGCATAAAAAAATAGAACCAATTGAATTGCTCAATATTGAGTTATAAAACTGACAAGGTTAAGCCATGCGTATATAAATAAAAATTATAAGGATTTCTAGTATTATTACCTAAAAAACCCGCCTCTAACATTGCAAGCAACATTTCTTGCGACACATAAAACTGGGATAGTGTTATTTGCCTACAACATAAAGAGTTGCAATATAAGTGCATGCTGCCAAAAAGATGTTAAAACTAATGCTTATATTGGTCATATATGCTGTCATCAAATGCCCATAAGGAGAGAAGCCAATTAATGATCATGCATACTTCAGCTTGAGGAGCGTAGTATGGGGCAAATGCTGGAACAACATGCACACGTGGTTGATCTTTCTCATCCCAAACTTTTAAGCGGTCATCAATAACCAATGCCATTTTCGGATGGCATATTCCATCTTGAAAAACTTTGAATAATGATTTCCTTGAACCTATTCATACAAAAAAAATAATAGTTAGTAGAAAACAACCAACTAGTGAACCATGTCAGACAGAAAACAGATCAAATTGCAAGCTATGCATGAAAATCAACCATACCAACAACTAGCTTACCAGGTTTGACACAGACAATACGATCCAACAACTCATTTGAATTTATCAAATTTGACTCAGGATCAAGAAGCCTCCAAATTTCCAAAGCATAATCCCTTTCAGCCATTGTACAAACATAAACCTCAAATCGTTTACGCCCTCTAGCAGTCAAGTAGCTTCGGAGATCCTCCCATGCAGGTCTCAATCTCACAAGAACACTAGTATCACGAATCTATGGGAAAATAAAAAAAAGTCAATTAATGCAATATGTCTGTCGACAAAAACCAAGAGAGAACATGCCAAAGTCTCTGCACAATCAACTGCATAAAATCACTTTTCTCCATTTACAGGATGGAATAAGCCAGCATTTTAACCATCACACACAAGAAAAGAACAATTGAACAATATACAAAAGATCTTTACTGGAATTGACAAAGTCTATACCTGTGGATTGATGCGTGTCAGAATAATGTTTTTCTCTTGTAATCGAATGAGCGATCGAATAATAGATTGTTGATTATCAGAATAGGCTGGAACAACCTCAGACTGACTCTTGATCACCTTCCCATTTTCAACAACCAGATCATTCTCTGAATACTGCTTTAATATGGTCTTATCATCTTGATAACGCTTAACCTCTGCCATCATAACTGCAGCACGCTGTGGATCAACTTCGACATTTATCTTTCGCTGCAAAGCCTCTATTTTGTCCTCGAATGAGCGCATTGTATTTGCAACAATAAGAGTCTCATCCAGGTCAAATACAATTCCTAAACATCTTAGGTTCAGCATGACAAGACAAGAATCATAGAGTCCCCTTGCAACATTGAATCCCCAGAAACAGGGTCTGTCGCTATTCCTAGAATACATTGGAACCAAATGGAGCTCATAATCTCCCATAGGGATTACTGCAGTCTGGAAGCACCAAATAACATTACCATCAATTCTCACAAAATTTCCAATAAGAAAAGAAAAAATACCATCTGACAAAAAATGAAGAGGCACAAACATCATAAAAATTTTGGCTCTCAAACTGTAAGATATGATCCAAGTAAAGTTCATCCACAAAGCACAAACTCTGTTAATAATAACAGGCTAACTGAAACAATTACAAGACAATTGCCCATAAATATCAAAAGTTGTATTCAGGGATTTCCCATCAAATGGTACCCACCTCAGCTCAAGTTTTCTGGGTAGTTCAAATGAAGTTGAGAAAATTCTCACAGTTCAAGAGGTGACCTTTTTAAGGTACATACAATTCATGGATTCACTAAATTTGTCAAGAAAAGAATAATCAGGAACATCATAATTCCCCAAAAACCAGTTCACATTTATTTTTCTGTACTAAAAACAAAAGTTTCAGACAGTCATCAATGATTAGGGCATCAGAAACTTCAGCAAAATTGCCAAAAATCTCGTAGTTCCTGAAGTTCATGCATTTTCAGTTCAGAAGAGCAACAATTGGTTCATTGAAATTCCCAGTTCTCTAAGTTGAAGCATTTTTTACATGGGATCTGCAAATGTCTAAATTTCAAACTTGGGGTCATGTAAAAATATGTCCAATAAAGAGTCCAGTAAATTAGTAGTTTCAGGGCAATTTTAAGATTATTAAACTTATTGTTTGTTTCCCTCTTTGTTTAAGTTCAGTTTTTTTTTTTTTTTCTTTTTCTGGGTTTCGTTCGAGGACAATTGGGTGGGGCTATACCTTGCTGTCTCTGATACATTCGGAGTGCAAAAGACGAAGCGGAGGCGTGTCCTGAGAAGAAGAGTAATTGTTGTCCTTTGATGATTCCATTTTGAAGCAAATCCCACTACAAGTAATGGTATGTAGCACTGCCAGTGGTGGACATCTCTCACTGCCTTGCGTCAAATACCCTATCCTGATTTCCTTCATTTCTTCTTCCATCACCATTATTTTTCTACCATCTTCTTCTTCCCCTAGTAGTTGTTGTGGATAAAGCTCCACCTCCCCCAACATCTCCTCCCCTTGATACACAACCGATTTGTACATTCTCATCATCATATTCAGATCCTCAATTTCTAGTCAATTTCTCATCAAAATCTTGTCTTCAACAACAACAAAAACAAAAAAGGTTTTTACAAGTTCTTGCGATCTATTCTATTCTCTTTAGATTTGACCAGATTTTTTTTGCAGATTGCAAGTTCAATAAAATAAACAAAAATCAGATCAAAGGCAAAAATTAAGGTTTCTCCATTTTCGGTCAGATTTGTTTACATAGATCTGTATTTTTTTTTGGGGGGGGGGGTGTTTGATCTACAGAAAAAAAAAATGAAAAACCCTAATGATGGATCTCGCTTGCTTTCTTCTTCGCCTTGGATTTGATTTGTTAATTTTTTATATTGATTTTCTAATTTTTTCCGTATCGGAGAAAAAATATTACTAAAAGAAAAACAAAAAGAAAAAAAAAAGTAAAATCAATGGTATTTTTGGTGATGACTGATGAAGAAGCGAGAAAACCCTAGATCCAGAAAGCGAAAGGTCAAGAATGCTACGCCATTGCGTAATTTTGTTGACAATATTAAACAATTATTATAAATGGCGTAAAAGCGTCAGTGCTGCTGGGGAGGGGCTGATTTTTAATTTCCGTTTTTTCTGAAGTGGTACGATGAAGTGCTGGGGGAAAGGCCTAATGCAGGGACGTAAGTGAAGAGGAGGATAAATTCGTGGAGTTTAATGATATTTTACTAATTTTGGATTGAGTCAACGTGCTGATGTTTTACGTGGCGGGTTTCTATTGGACACCCGCCTCAATGGCGGTTGTTATAGGTTCGCTCTGCTACTTCGACGCCTCGTGTTAGATTAGATTTTTCTTTTTTATTTTGTGAACTTGAGATAAATTAGCCGACTTCTGATCTCAAAATTAAATAAATTAAATATTAAATTAAAAGTTCGTTCTTATATGTTATCATTTAAATTTTTAAATTTTATAAATAAAATTAAAAATTAATACAAATTTTTAATATATTCAAGTTGTACGTATCACATCATTAATTTTATTTATAAATTTTAAAATTTTTAGTAATAATAAATAAAATATTTTTAAATTAATTAATTTAATTTTAAATAAAATAAATATAAATTTAATTAAAATGCTTCATCCATATTTTTTAAAAGATCAATTTCAACAAAATTAAATTTAATCTCTAATGCCTGCACATTTTTTTTTTCTAAATTCTAAATTACAACGTGGCTTCTTTTTGCGAGTGTGTACGGAATAAGGCAAAAGTTTTGGGTATTGAAGAATGGAATCCTCAGCTTGTCACTCTGATTTTAGCTTAATCATTATTTACAATTACCAGCTTAGAAACAGTAGCACCCACTCCTTACGATCAAATTATGATTAAAATTCTGATGAAATTAAGACTATGATTAAGTGTGGACCCTTACATTATTGTCACATCTGAAAATGCTTTATCGATGGCTCCTGATCTTTAAATGCACACAATTAACCTCCTCCCCTGCCTTTGATCTACCGTTCAATTTGCCTCGCTACCTACTTCAGCTTTTCAACCCCTAACTTGAATTTGGTCTGGACAATGAAGTTTCTAAATACAAAAGCGGCGGAGCTAGCAACCTCAATGGAAGGCGGCGGAGGGAGGGTCATGGTCAGGGGCGTAGCTATTAGCAAGTGGGGCTGGCAGGGCATCGGCCCCTAAATTTTTTTTTACAGAACAGTATCTCATCCTGCCAAAAAATTTGTCAGGCCGTTTTTATTTTAGTAAAATTATTATTTGATTTTTATTTTTTTCATTTTTCTGGCATCACTTTTGATGGTCTTCCAAAAGGTTTTGAAAATATATATGAGAAAATTTATTAAATACATTGTCAATAAAATTTCACTTTATAAATAAGATTAATAAAATGATATATGTTTTTTAAAATATATTTAAAAAATTAAAAAATTAATTAAAAAATAAAATATGTATCATTCTATTAATATCATTTTTAGAGTTAAAAAAACTTATCTGATAATATATCAAATCATTTTTCATATATGAAAAAAGATCCACTTCCGTGAGAATAAGTCTTACATCTTTTCATTTATGCCATTGTAATTGTTATATCTTTTCTTTTTATTCTTGGATCAAATAGCTAAATATAAGTATTATAAAATTAATTATGATCTACAAATTTTAAAAATAATATAACATTTATAGTAATATAAGTAAATCCCTACCATATAATAATATGTAATAATAATATGTTTTTAAGATATAGCCTGAATAAATTAATAGCCCCAAGATAAACCAATGATCTCAAAATACGTACATGTGACAATTTCATTATTGAATCTTAAAAACAAAGCTTACATGTCTAAATCTTTTTTTAAATGGACTGTTAAAAAAATAATTACTTCCTAATTCATATGTATATATATATATATGTGAGGAGAGATCATTTTACATCAGTATTAATTTAAAAGGTTTTACATTTTTTTAATTATTAATTTTAATAAATTTGAAATATGAGAGAGACAAATAAAAAAATTTCTTATCTATTGAATTTATTAAAATTAATAATTAAAAAATATAAAAAAATTTTAATGTAACTTGATCCATTCTCTGTATATATATAATAAGATCCATCGATAAAAAATAAGGACCAAATTATTAAATTAACGAAGTTTGTCATCTAACTCACGTTAAGAACTTAATCAAATTTTAGTACCCAGTGTGAGATTCATGCATGATTCCCTATAGGAAAAAAAATTTATATGAAATTTTTTAGATAAAGTTCGTAAATTTTTTTAATGAAAACAATTAAATAAAAATAAAAATAAAAATTGAAATCAATAAATTAAAAGCTTATATTACATAGATTAAGTATGCAAATTTAAAAAAGTTTTTAATAAAATTTTATACATATTTTTAAATAAATATTTTTAATAAAAATATTATTAAATAAATATAAATCAAATTTAAATTATAAATAAAATTTTTAACAAATTGTTTACATATTATTGATATCACATTAAATTATATCAATCTATTAATTTAATTTTTTTATTAAAATTTTTATTAAAAATTTTTTTCCAAACTTCACATCAAAAATTTTATTAAAAAATTTCATATAAATTTTATCCTTCCTTGACTATAACATCTTATATGATTTTAATATAAATCGAAATGCCTTTAAAAATTTCATAAACCAATTAACCATTCAATAATCATCACTTTTGTTCATAATGATATAATAACTTGTTTCAATCAATTCAACACACTGATACTTTCATTTTCAGCTAAATTCACATTCCATTTAGGGCGATTTCAGTAATTTTGCTTTTAAAATAAAGTTAGCGTGCGCTTTATTTACCTTAAAGTTTGATAAGAAATCAATATATATTAGAAATATTATTATAAAAAGTCTACGAGAATTTGTTGAATTAGTAAATTTTAAATATTTTAGACAATTCAAGCCTTGCGCTACTCTTTTTCTTTTCATATATATTTTTTAAACTTATCTCTAAATTAAATTATTTAATTATATTTTCTCAAAATGTTTTAAAAAGTTTTTTGGATATGTGAAATATTTAAAAACTTTTTAAAAATTTTTATATTTGAAGACTTTTAAAAGTTTCTAACTCTTTCAAAAATATCATTTAAATGACTTAAAATTTTCATTAGGAATATTAATATTTTATTCTCTCTCAAATTATTGAAATACAAAAAATCTAAAAACTTACATGTTGTATTTAAATACTCTTTCTATTAAAGCATGGTTTTTTTTTTATCAATTTGTAAATAAATTTATAATTATTTAAATAAATCATATTCTTTTATAAAATTAAAATTTTTTTAAAATATACACATTTTTTTCTCAAATGAATTTATAAATTTAAAGTTTAACGTTTAAGGTTTAAAATTTTTTTAAGTAAATAATTTATTGCATATAAAAATTAGATAAATTATATAATTATTAAATAATACATATATAATAAATTATATAACTTATTAAAAACTTATATCCAGTAATAAATTATTTGATTTACGTGATATAAATATTTGAAAATTAAAAAAAAATAAGTAAGGGTATGGAGAAAAAATTCCGTGCAAATAGAATCCATGCACCCAGATCACATGGCAACCCAAACACGTGACCTCACCTCATCCCAACTTTTACATGGCATGACCAAACTACCCGGCGTTGCAACTTTTTTTTTTCTATTAGAGTACTATCAACATCAGCTTGGAAAAAAGAGAGAGAGAAAAAAAAAAAGAGTTATAACATCGCACTGAAATTCATAAAATAAAAACCGGACCGGCGGATCCAAATCAAATCAAAATCCTAACCCGAAAGCCTCCCGATTACCCCAAATCTCTCTTCTTTTCTCCTCTCTCAGCTCACCATCCAAGAGAGAGAGAGAGAGAGAGAAAGAGATCGCTTCGTTTCGTTTCAAAATCTTGCATTTCTCAAGTTCTCTTTCTTTGCCCAAAATACCCTTGTCTCTCTTTTCAATGCCAAGTCCAAGGTAACGCCATAAGAAAGAAACCGAGCCGCCGAACCATGATCGTTCGAACTTACGGTCGCCGCAACCGTGGTTTAACCAGGACATTCTCCGACTCCCTAAACGACGACGTCTCTGACTCCCCTCCTCTGTCCCAAGAAACGGTGCCGTCTCAGGACATCTACAGTTTCCCTTTTACCACTCATGAATCCTCTTCCTTCTGGCCATCCTCTCAAGAATTCAACGACGACGATTACAAGAACCAAGTAACGACCGTTAAAACAACCCAAAGTAATTTCGATTTTGACGATTCGAGAAACGGCGTCGTGAGGAGATCCAAGAAACAGAAGCAAATCCAGAGCAAGAAAGAGGTAGGGTATTCTTCTGTGCCCTGGATTTCACCGACTTCGACTCTTATGGAGGCTCAAGAATTCGGAGAAATGATGGAGCACGTTGACGAGGTTAATTTCGCGCTTGACGGTTTAAAGAAAGGCCAGCCAGTGAGGATCAGAAGAGCGAGTCTCTTGTCTTTGCTTTCAATTTGCGGCACAGCTCAACAAAGGAGACTTTTGAGAACTCATGGGTATGTTAAATTCTTGTTGGCTTTTTAGTTTTAAGGTTCCTTTGTTGAAATCTATAGATTTGGGCATCTGGGTAATGTTAATTTTGCTTGGATTTTTGAAATTAGAATGTAGATTCGGTTATGAAATAATTTTATTGATTCAAACGGATTAAGGGGTTTTGCTTCTTATGACCTGTCGTTTTAGGCTTTTGGGGCTATATGGATTAGAATTTTTAGGAAGAGTTTCGAAATTTAAATCCCCATCCATGGATTTCTATACTCTTTTAAGTATATTTGAAAATTTGAATTCTCTTCCGTGAATCTATAGACTCTTTATAAGTATATTAGGCTTTTCCATGTAGTTAAAGAAAGATAAATGTATCAAGGTTTGGATCTTCGATGAATGCCTGTTTTATTAGGAAATTGTAAAGATAGTTGGCAGTTTTGCATTCTCAAGACTATAAATCAGTTAGGAACGTTGGAGATCTCTGTGATGATCGATGGTTTTCTCATTCTTTTTTAGGGGCTTTGTAAGTTATTGATGTTTTTGATAGTCTACGGATGTAATTTGATTTTTTTATTAATTTAAAGTTGTCCTTTGGTAGTATTAAGAATGTTTATCTCCATTCTGCTCTAAAATATATTTGTTTCTTATGTCATTGACTGCACCAAAAACTCTCTACGGTTTCAAGTAGTATAATTATGAGGGAGAAGATATTTAGGACTTATATTTTGACTAATCTTTTGAAGAAGCAGTGTAATTAACTTTTTTTGTCTTCTTTGACTATCTCCATTGTCAGTAATATTTTTAAGCTTTCTTAAACTTGTTATTTGTTGCTACTATATAACTGATATTTAACTGAATTTGAATTAAGTAAGTTTAGATTGCGTGATTGGTTCATTTATAAACATGCATGGAAAGATCCATGAGAACATTTAATTAGCTTATTATCTCTTTGAGATTCATTGTAAACATTATTTTGTCTTTACACTCACTAACTTCTTTGTAAGCATCAGGGTCTGTGTTTTAGTTTTCAAAATCTTTCTAAGAAAGTAGCATAAGGTACTCTGGCATATGAGGCCTTCCTTAATGGATCAGCTACCCTTGTAATTTGTTAATTGTCTATTTGTCTCTTTTTAGGGATTGTCAATTGACCTTTTTTGCTTATTTAATTTTCTGAATTTATACCTTAAATTTTTACTGATCGAATACTTGTTTCACACTCTAAACGAAAGGAATGATATAGATAAAAGATTGAGTCGTTTTCCTGAGTAGTATTTTCTCTCTTTAGACCAAGCATATGCATGATGACTCTATTGTCTTCTGGAAGTCAGTACTGTGATGCATTTTGTTGTTCTTACACTGGGTTTGCAAATACGTTCATTTCAGGATGGCAAAGACAATAATTGATGCTATTTTGGGGCTCAACTTTGATGACATCCCAAGCAATCTGGCTGCTGTGGCCCTTTTCTATGTCTTGACCAGTGATGTAAGTTTTTCAGCACTTGAAGTTACACTTGAGTGACTATTTATGAATCTATATGTAATTTCTGCTTAACAGTGAGGATTTTATTCACACATTGGATTCTTCTGAGAAGATTTAAATCCAGGACTAACTGGAAAGTTAAACCATGTAGATTCCATACTTATTAGAACTATTATTTCTGCACAAGCAGACTTTGAATATGTGAGTCTTCTAGTGCAGTCTTACATGTACTGCTATACTAAAACTGGTTACAATTAAAGGTGGATGTTAATCTGTCCTGCCATGCATTTGGTTTTCACCTTACCTTCAGTTGAATTTTATTCTTACTGAGTGAGAGAAAAATGTTAACATGTTTATTTTAAAATAACTTTAAAATTCAGATGTCAAGAAATGCATGTTTATATGCCTGTAGAGAAATATTTATTTAAGGTAAATACATTATTTCTAGATGTTCCAAGAATGTCAGATACCACTTGTGCATCAAAACTTAGGTGTTGTAGCTTTTATACTTTTTGATCTGTTTGCATCAACTTTGTTAGACCAATATTTGCTTATAGCTGAATGAAATGTTTTGAATGTGTCAATTACAGTATTCATCAAGGTTTGTATGAATTTATTGTGCCAGGGTCAAGATGAGCATCTCTTGGAATCACCTGGTTGCATTCGGTTTCTAATTAAATTGTTGAAGCCAGTTATCCCCACTGCTAAAGAAAACAAAACAGGGAAAGTGGGCTTTAAGCTTTTGGCATTACGCAAGGATGCCAACGTCTCACGGGATACAAATAAAGTGTTGGATTCAAGCTCTGCTGCCATCATTTCCAAAGTTGAGGAAATTCTTGTTACTTGCAAGGAAATGAAGTCAAGATGTGGGGATGATAGTGGTTTAAGGAGGCCAGAGTTAAGCCCGAAATGGATAGCTTTGTTGACTTTAGAGAAAGCTTGTTTGTCTAAAATTTCTCTTGAAGGTATCTAATGGAAATATCTAAGATTTTTAAGTATTTATTATAGATATTGTCTTATTGGAACTATTATGGTAGCTCAATGTATACCTAAACACAACCACATATGTACATATTAATACATACTCATACAGTCAAGTATATTTTTTGCTCTTTGCTGATTGCTTTCATGTTCTTTTGAATTGGTTTCATTCATTCAGATACAACTGGTACAGTAAGGAAAACTGGGGGCAATTTCAAGGAGAAACTAAGAGAGTTTGGAGGACTTGATGCTGTGTTTGAAGTGGCCATGGAGTGCCACTCTGTTATGGAGGTGTGAGCTTGTATGTTATATCTCATTTCTGTTCTGTTGCATTTCAACTGAAGAAGATTAAGAAATACTGCTTTAAATTTTGAGAGTCTTTGGTTCCATCTCTTGCATTTACATGAAGCCATTCACTGGGAATTAGCAATTATATATATATATATATATATATATTAGAAATTATTCATTGGTGTCATATGATGCATCATCTTCTCTGCAGGGTTTGGTGGATCAGAGTTTATATTCTACTCTTACAGAAGATAAAAAGGATGTGCAGAGCCTGATGCTGCTTTCAAAATGTTTGAAAATCATGGAAAATGCTGCATTCCTAAGTAGTGACAATCAGGTACTTAAGTTGTGATTTTGAGTTTTTTTTTTTTTTAATTTTCTTTTACACTTAGTTTGTATAACTAAACTGCCACTTATATTGAGTTGTTAAGACTCTAAATGTTTTTTTTTTCTTTTCTTTTATGTAGAGTCATCTGCTAGAAATGAAAGGGCAATTGAAATCTCATGGATCTCGGTTATCTTTTACGAAGCTTGTTATAAGTGTAATCAAGATTCTCTCAGGTTACTGGTGTTACAATTACTGCTTCAAAATGTCTTCTCTTTTCTTTTTTATCCTCTTTTTATCTTATGAAAGATTTATTGCATTGTGATTTACCAATGTCATTGTTTCCAGGGCTTTATCTTAAAAGTTCTTCTGCATCGTCCAGTACTGAAAGGGCTTGTAGTAATTCTAAAGCAACGGTTGATGCCAATGAATTTGCTTTAGCTACAGACTTTAAAGGTATTGGGCTGTCTGATATCATTAAATAAAATATATCTTTCTAGTGGCCGCTGTTGGTCTTGATTGATTCTCTTTAATTTTGCAGTGGATAGACATGATGTTATCTCCATTAGTTCGTCTGAAAAATTCTCTAGCATAGAGTGGTCGTTCTCTGAAAAGAGCTTCAATACATCTCGGAATGACCCAGGGCCCTCCACTCAGTGGCTGGGCCGTTCTGTACCTTGTTTTCAAACTGCGGCAGCATCCATGAATGATAGTTGTTTGCTAAAAATGAGAATCCATTCTTCCTTGTCCAGCTCTTGTAGTGGGAAATTAGGAAGTTCATATGATGAAATACCTGTAACAAGCAATGGGTCGGGGACTCTGTGTGAGAGACCTGATGTTACAAAGGATGGCAAATGGCAACTTTTAGAGGATAGTCAGGATCCTTTTGCATTTGATGAAGATGATTTTGTGCCTTCAAAGTGGGACTTACTATCTGGGAAAAAAAAGACATCCCAAACTAAAAAACATGGGAAACTTGGGCTAAAAAATAGAGAAATTGAAGATGAGTATCAATACCAATTTACAATGAGCCAACAAGAATCAAGTAATGGGGAAATTTTCCAGACAGAATCTATCAATGAAGAATATCATCATTCTAATGCAACTTCTGGTTCTAAAAGTGCTGAAGAAGAATATTCCAGCCTTCTTTCAGACTGCCTCCTTGCTGCTGTCAAGGTATTCCTGAACATATTCTCATTTCATCCGACCTTTGCGGAGCTTGTTTTTTGCTTAGAAGCATTATCATATGTATGATTACAATGAGGTAAAATAAAGTTACCTGTTGTCCTTATTCTGCTTCTTGAATCCTTCAATGGTATTGATTGGGTTTGTGCAATTTTATGGACAGTATATAACTGGCTTGCTGTGCATAACATCTTGATATCCTGTGTATTTTCTCTCTTAGACTAGTGATTTTTTTGATCAAATAGTGGGGTGTTATCTTGTCAGGTTTTGATGAATTTAACAAATGACAACCCTCTTGGCTGTCAGCAAATTGCTGCCTCTGGGGCCCTAGAGACCCTGTCTACATTGATAGCCTGCCACTTCCCTTCATTCTGCTCATATTTGCCTCGCATCAGCGAAACGGAAGAGAATTCTCTTAGCATAGAACTTGACAACCGGAATGACAGACCTCTTACTGATCCAGAGTTGGATTTCCTTGTAGCAATACTGGGTCTGCTTGTGAACCTAGTAGAGAAGGATGAACATAACAGGTTGATGTACATTCTTTGTATTCATTGCAGTGGCTTACAAAAGCAGAATAGAGGTCATTTTATGCCTTTTTATACTCAAAGCCACAGGCACATAACAATTACATGTCATGCTTCTATGCATGCAGATCACGGCTTGCAGTAGCTTCTGTTTCTTTACCAAATTCCAGTCGCATGGCTGTAATTCCACTGCTATCTGCCATCTTTCTTGCAAACCAAGGAGAAGATGATGGTACTGGAGAAGTTCTGCCTTGGGTGAGGACTTCTCTATATGATACAGAATCTACCCTTCATTCCTCTGCTTCCTCTCCCCCTCCTCCAGTGGTTCTTCCTTTCCTCTCCTTCCTCATGGCTCAGAGCATTATGCTTTTCATGCTAGTGCGCTTGGAGAAATTATTATAAATGACATGCCTTAAATCTTTGTTTTATTGGATTGTACAGAATGATGAGGCTGCTATGCTACAAGAAGAGAAAGAAGCAGAGAAGATGATTTTAGAAGCCTATGCGGCTCTACTACTTGCATTTCTTTCTACTGAAAGGTTGGTATTGCTGGTATCTTTCCCAGTGCCCAGTTTCCACGTTTTCTTACTAAACTGTTTTTCCCATTTGTCATTGACAGTAAGAGCACACGAAATGCAATAGCTGATTGTCTCCCAAATCACAGCCTGTCAATTCTGGTACCTGTGTTGGAGAGATTTGTGGTATGTCTTTAATCTAAGTACCATTTAATAATGAAATTAGCAGCAATGTAGCAGTAGGTTGACACCATTTGGGAGTTGATTGTGACTCATTCATCATCAGCAAGATAAAATGGAGCTTGGCCCAAAGTTTTAGGCCTGGAATTTTGACTATAGGGTTCATTAGTTGGTCATGGCCATCCGTGCTTCCTGGTTTGATATGCGCTGCCATTGACTGCAAAGTGATTTACTGCATTTAGGCCTTAGAATTATGAAATTACTGGATAACTTTGGGAACATATTTATGCAATTTCATAATCTGTAACATTTTCTTTTGTCCTTTGTGCAGGCATTTCATTTTACATTAAACATGATTTCTCCAGAGACTCATAAAGCTGTGAGTGAAGTGATTGAGTCATGTAGGATACCATGAGAACTAATGAAATGTTTTGTACAGCCCTGTCTTCCATTTTAGATTAGCTGTTTGTATCACACAATGCCAGTGCTCACAAGGATGGGAGCGGGCAGCACACTGTATCAAACTTGCCACAGACCTCTGTTATAGTCCATTGACCCGTTTGTTTGTTTTTACCCCCACAAATTTTTCCTTTTTGTTTTTGTAGTTTTTGTTTTTTCTGACAGTATTATTCTTTGTAGCACTATTCCATCGTTTTGATGCAGGCCAACACTCAGTGTACATGAAAGTGAAAGTTCAATCAAGAAGTTTTCCATTACCTTGTGTATCTAAATATTCAGTTGCATATAATGTGTATTTTTTACATTTTTATTTTGCAAAATATGTGTCAACTAAAAGGGATGATATTTCTCTTCCTGTTGGCCATAAACGACCATGTGTCGCATTACTTCACTGCTGTTTGCATTCCAGCTCCTTTATACATCTCTTTGCCTACTTCCCCCGGCCTACTTCATAAACAATATCAGGTGGTTTACCATTAAACATTTTTGGCATTGGCTGCTCTGTTATGCTGATATAAATTGGTTGTGTTCTCTACAAAAATCTCTTTCGCTATTGGAGAGAGAGAGAGAGACGTATGAAAGGAAATGATACCATTAAATTTGTCACACGCCATGCCGCCGTAGGCAGGGGAGACTAACGTCCTCATCTCATGATGGAATGTCAACCATGACTCTCCACCTGAACTGTAGACATAACAAAGCTCAAAGCTATAATATGCGAAAAACACGCGAGTCCAATACTCCAGTTCCTTGATATTTTGGTTTGTGAAAGGATGACCGCACATTTTTATTTAAAAGAAAAATTAGATTTCGATGACTTCAGGTGCTTGATGGCACCGAGTTTAAAAGCAATAAAAAATTAGTAACTGATATTAAATGGGCCCATAAGCTTAAATTACAACCCAAGTTTTATGGCCTTCGAAGTTCCGACTTAGCCTTTGATTTCTCTTTCAAACAAACCCCCTTTGATCTGAGGCTCAGATAAAAAATCCGCCACAAAAATCGACAGGTCTTCGCTACACCCAGGTTCTTCTTACCCTTCTGGTGTTCTTTCACTTTTTTTTTGTTTTTTTTTTGGGTTTATTCGTTTATATAAGGTCAAGGCGCTACGGCCTCCGTCACTTCTTCGGCGCCGGTAACACGGCTTTTCTTTCTTTTCTTTGTTTGTTTTGAAATGTGGGGAATCCAAGCCTTGCCCGAATTTTTTAAAATTTAAAATTTGGTGTTGCTTGCCATGTTTTCTCAGTTTATCTGGCTTAGATCTGCGTTTTGGCCATGATAAGTAATTTTAGGGGGTGATTGCTTCATTATTACATGTTTTTTAATTGATTCTGAGATTCAGCTTTGGTATTGGTAAAAGAAGAGCTGAAGAATAAAGGTAGATGAGCAAGTTAAGGTTTCAAGAGTAAAACCCTTGAGTTTTATTTTATTTTTTTATTGAAATTGTTATAATATACAAAATCCACCGATTATTATCCCATACACGGGCTATAGAGTTTAAAAAACTCTGCAAGCGGGTTTATATGCTTGCCATGTGCCCATTTTAGTGAGCATCTCTTCATAATTTCCTTGTATATGCATTACAGTATTTCCATTTGTGTAAAAATTTTCCTTTTTTAGTAATGACTGTTCAAACTGGTTCACCATATCTTTGTAAATGGTTTCAGGAGTGAAACAAACTATCACAGCGTAGAAGGTTCAACAGGTGATCATGGCAGACTTGGAAAATTTGCTCCTGGAGGCAGCAGGAAGAACGGGTACAGGAGGGAGAAACCGACACTCGCTTCCATCATCTAGAAGGCGACGCGAGGGTTCGTATTCTGATGGTGGAAGTGACTCTAGGGATGACGATTCGGATGATGATCATGGCTATCCAAGCAGAAAACCATCTGGGTCACAAGTTCCATTAAAGAAGAGGCTGGACCCTGCTGACAGAGATGATGATCAGGGCAGTCAGGAAGAAGGCGATTATGAAGATGGTGGTTCTGACCGTGAGCGTGATAGTAGTGATGAATCTGATGTTGGTGATGATCTTTACAAGAACGAGGATGACAGGCGACAGCTTGCACAGTTGACTGAACTTGAAAGAGAATTGATTCTGTCAGAACGTGCAGATAAGAGAGGTGATAAGAAATTTACTGAAAAGATTAGATCAAAGCGGGACAATGATAGGCCTAGCCGGTCACGGAAAGGGACTCCACCCCTTCCATCTTCTCGTGGAGTGCGGTCATCAGCTAGATCTGCAGATAGGGCAGCTGCTAAGGATGATGCCCTGAATGAGTTGAGAGCAAAACGACTCAAGCAGCAAGATCCAGAGGCTCATCGTAAGTTGAAAGATGCATCTAGAGTCAGTTCAGGCAGCCGGGGGTTATCACCAGTCAAGCGGAAACCCTTCACTACATCAAGTCTAAGTAGCTCTAGTCAGAGTGAGAGTGAAAGTAGGTCTAACAGCGAAGATGAAGGGTCGACTGGGGATGGTGGAATGGTTGATAGTGATGATGAGAGGGGCGGACGGGGGCCAGATGGGCCAACATTTGATGATATTAAGGAAATTACTATCAGAAGGTCAAAACTTGCAAAATGGTTTATGGAGCCATTTTTTGAAGAGTTGATTGTGGGTTGCTTTGTACGAGTTGGAATCGGAAGGTCAAAGAGTGGCCCTATCTACAGGCTCTGCATGGTCAGAAATGTTGATGCCACAGATCCCGATCGGACATACAAACTAGAGAACAAGACAACATACAAGTATTTGAACGTTGTTTGGGGCAATGAAAGCTCTGCTGCCAGGTGGCAGATGGCTATGGTTTCTGATTCTCCACCACTAGAGGAGGAGTTTAGGCAATTGATTAGGGAGGTGGATAAAAGTGGAGGCCGGATGCCAAGCAAACAAGATGTCCTTGAAAAGAAAGAAGCACTACAGAAGGCCAAAACATATGTTTACTCAGCAGCTACTGTAAAGCAGATGTTGCAGGAGAAAAAATCTACTTCATCTAGACCGTTAAACATTGCAGCCGAGAAGGATAGGCTGAGAAGGGACCTGGAAATTGCTCAAAGTAAGCATGATGAGGCAGAGGTGGAGAGGATTAAGACGAGACTGAAGCAACTGGATGCTTCCCGTCAAGCACAGGAGAAAGATGTCAAGGCTGTTAGGTTGGCTGAGATGAACAGAAAGAATAGAGTTGAGAATTTTAAAAATGCATCAGGATTGAAACCCGTAAATACTGCTTTAAAAGCAGGGGAGGCTGGGTATGATCCATTTTCAAGGAGGTGGACTAGATCAAGGAATTACTACGTTGCGAAGCCTCCAGGAGGAGATGCAGCAGCAGTGGGTAATGGTGATACAAATGGTGCAACTGCCAGTGGAAATGGCAATGATGCAAGGGCTGCTGCAGAGGCTGGCAGGGCAGCTACAGCGGCTGCTTTGCAAGAGGCTGCTGGTGCGGGGAAATTGGTTGACACAAGTGCACCTGTTGATGAAGGGACAGAATCCAACATGCTACATGACTTTGAGATTCCAATCTCATTGAATGCGCTTCAAAAGTTTGGTGGACCCCAAGGAGCTGTTGCAGGATTCATGGCTAGGAAACAGAGGATAGAAGCAACTGTTGGATGCCGAGTCCCTGAGAATGATGGGAGGAGACATGCTCTTACCCTGACAGTTAGTGACTACAAGAGAAGAAGAGGGCTTCTTTAAAGATAAAATCCTGCATCTAAGCAATGTCTGTATAGGGAATGTTATTTTTTATTTCAGCTGTTTGTACCATGTCATTTGATCAAACTGCCTTAAGGCTTCTTGTTTTGAGTATATTTTGGTGATTGTATGCAGGTTGTTTCGGTTAATGAAATTGTGGTTTGATTGCTGGCCTATAATTTGAATGTCTTATATTCAACAGATTTTTGTGTTTCACTATGAAAGATCTATTTCCGTTCAGGTAAATACTCCAATTTCAGTGTTATTCCTTGAAAGAAATTTATCATTATATGATACAATGACTAGATTTGGGTAGGGATATTAACGAATAGAATACGAAGATGGTAAAATATTTTTTATCTTTATTTTTGAATTTTTATATTTTTTTATTTTTGTATTCATATTCAATAAATATTTTAAAATTATTTTCATATTCATCTTTAGGTATTTAATGGGAACGTATAATTTTCATATTCATAATTTAAAAAAAAAATAAAAGTAAAAATTATTTTTTTAGTTTTGTAATTTTTATATTTAGATAATGTTTTATAAATATATATTGATATATAATTTTTAATAAAAATATATTTATTTTAATTAATTTAAAATAATAATTTTATTATTTAATAAAAAATAATTTATTAATTATATATAAATATATATATGTAAAATATGAGACGAGTATTATATTATTTATTTTTATATTTATGTTTAATAAAAATTTAAAATTATACATATTTTTATTATTATATTCATAATATAATTTTTATTTTTATTTTTATTCAGATAAAAAATCAAATTCTTCATTAAATATAAATAAATTAACATCATTTGGGTTTAGCACCGATGACAAAATCTGAAATTCAGCGTTTTTAAATGATTGAGAAGGCGAAGCTATTGGTTGGGATTGGTTTGCTATAAAATATAAACCACGGACATATTATATTACTTGGAGGCCCAGTCATCATGCAGCTAATTATTGCGGATGTCGGACGGTGGTGGAAATTAGAATCTTTTTTATTGTTTATTTTGTTCCTTGACTAAATTTAATATAAACAGTGCACTTGTTGAACAATTATAAAAATTTATATCTTAAACTATAAATAAATGATGCCAGACTTAATTATTTTGTTTTTAATTTTAAACAGTTTGTTATCTTGAATAGATGACAGACAATTTTGCCAAAATAAAAAAATATATATGAATTTCCATTTTATATAAATTTATAAACATAAAAAATTTTGATAAAAAATATTTTTAATGTGGATAACTTATATTTTTAACATGTGGATGGATTTTTAAAAAAATACATTTTATTTATTTAAAATGGTTTTATTATTTTTTATAATAACATATTTATTACTTAAAAATAATTAGTTTGACTAAATTAATTACATTTATTACCTTTTAAATATCTAATATTTTACCTTATATGAATATGTTAAAATTAATTTGTCAAAAAAAATAAAAATAAAAATAAAAATTAAATGAAAAGCTAATTGCTCATGAATATATTTTCATATCTTCTAATTATTCATGAAAAATTAAATGAAATTTA